CAGTAGAGGCAGTGTTTCCGATCCGTCCATGTTTGCACCAATTAGGAGAGTGACTCTTTACTTAGTTTTCCTCCGTGACATTTTTGGTTTTTAAATGCCAGCGTTTTGTCAGGAGTGGATTTAAAAAAGAGACCCGTCTCGTCAACATTAAAGATATCTCTTTCATCTATACCCTGAATCATCTCCTCCAAATTTTTTTCCATTGGTTGGCTTCTTGATGATTAACGGTCCCACTTTCTCCACAAATGGATTTGATCGAAATTTGGTTGCGTTCTTTGAAGTAGGGATGACGGTTTTTGACAAAACACCGGTTTTCGGTTATACCGGTTTTTTTTGCTTACGGTTTAACCTGGCAGTTATAACCGGCCAATAAAACCGGTTTTTCCAAAAACCGGTTTTCGGTTTTTTTAATTAAATAGATTAAAAAGTTACATTTACAATGTACTTTAGTTTGCGATACTACATTCGCAACACAATTTTTTGTCTTTTGTGAGAAAAAAATTCCGCAGACTCTTTCAAATGGGATTTAAAGAAAATAATATCAACATAAATATTTTACCCACTTAAAAATAAATTTAATAATGCAATTCATCTTTTATTTTTACTACCATCAAAAAAAAAATTATCATGTATTACTTTTAACTCATTTACGACTTCCGGTATGGGTTTAAATCGTTGAAATCCTTGTAGATTCGTATTCGTAATCGGTAATTCGATATTCATAGTCATTATTTTTAGTAATCAGAAAATCCATTCACCCACTTTCAATGTCAAGAGTCAAATAACCATAATAAATACCAGATCACTTCTTATGTAAAAATATTATGATTACAAATACTTTTTCAACGAAATACTATAATAAAATTTAATTGTTTTTGGCTAATGTGAGCTTTTGCTTCTGTATTAAATAAAATAAAAAATTGAATTTTAGTTTTGTTTGGAATAATTGCTTGAGAATAAATAATAATTATGATTGGGTGAGATCCAAAATAATACCTAACCTAATCCTAATCACTGTAAAAACCTAATAACCGGTTTTTACTTTAAAAATAAAAAACCGGTTATAACCGGGACAAAAAAAACAACCGATAAAACCGGTTATTTCGAAGTAAAAAAACCGGTTTTCGGTTCAAACCGGTAGGTTTTTCCCATCCCTACTTTGAAGCCGTCGAGCCACCCTGTACCCGCCTTAAAATTGTTTTCGCCATTTCAATAGCAAATTGTTTTTGCTTCTTATGAGGAGGCCACTCACGGGATTCTTCTTATCCCTAGCTTGTTTGAACCATTTTAACACAAAACTGTCTAAATTTGGATTTTCTGGCTTCCTTAACCTTTTTTGATCTTTACATCTGAACTGAAGGGGCGTGCCGGGTGGGGGAGAATTTACCTGACACAATGTACAATGATCTTGAATACCTTGAAACAAGTGGCAAATTAGAACAGAAAAGAATATCTCTTTTCGCGGAATTTCCAGCATAAAATTGGCATTTTAAACTTGTAGAAAGTTCGAATTATCCAAAATATAATTTGAATTATTCACGACTTTTTACCATTACTTATATAGGAAATGCTAGGAACCAAACTTAAAGTAAAGGATAGATTGCTTAAACAAATACAACATAGATATTTGCAGTATTTTGGACATATTGCTAGAAGAACAGGCACGATGGAAAAACTGATAGTCGAGGGTAGAGTTGAAGGAAAAAGACCTAGGGGAAGATCTCCAAGCCGTTGGGTAGATCAGACAAAAACATTGATTAACCACATTAAGATTAACCACATTGGTTACATAAAGTCGAACAACTAGCCCAGGACAGAGAAGGATGGAGGGAAATCGTGAAAAAACTGTTCCTGATGGTGTCACCACATCTCAAAAGGGATTAGGACTGAGGAGGAGGACTGTATTACATTTTTTTTAATATAGTCCGGGATCTCAGGACCATTTTGACCCTTTATTACTAATAATCTAATTTTTTGTGAGTAGTTTTATTTTGGCAAGACGTTCAACTTTTGCCCTTATAAAAATTTGCGTTTGTAATGGCTAACAGAGGTAATATAGATGAAATATGTTGATTTGACAACTCAAAAAACAAAAAGAAGCCGTGTGAAATTTCTTTTCGATCCCTATCCCTTGACACTGTCGATCGGATCAGTTCCATTGAAGTGAGAGTGAGAGTGGTATACAGCACTGGATAAGTTCTTCAATACTTATATAATTCCAAATAATTGGCTTAAGTTCAGCTTTATTCCTTTGCCAAAAAAAGTTTTTGGGAATCCTACAAATTGTTAGTCTAATTAGCTATGAGCTACTAAAGGTCTCCCTTCGGATACATGTTATCTAGTAACCCATTTGAATTTGGATTATTGTGATTAGTTTATTAAGTGATTCAAGGCAGAATAGAGTGTTTATTTCGAAAGTAAATATGTAGATTTTCATCAACAAAGAATTTAAAAATCCACAGATATTGTATTTTTGCATGTAAAAGAAATGGACAACTTTGCTAAACAACAAAAACTTTAACCTCAGATGTGAATGTATAAAATATTTGATAAAAAGTTTCAAAGAATCGGGAAAGCAGACAGTGGAAATGCTATGTTGCCATATATGCTCTGAGAATTTTAAGATTTATTTAACTACTGTATTACTTTAACTACATAGCTACAGTTTCTAAACAATATAATGACACACTAAATATAAGTAATTGTTATGTTTGTAAATTGTTGCTCTGTGCTTTACTTCCACGGGATAGACTAGATATAATGTGCGCGTTCATTAACACTAACTTCATGATATTTAAAAACATCTCTAAACCGACAGAGTGTTCCAACGCTTTTAAGAATTCTGTGTCAGTGAAATCCACTTAACTCTTAAGATATCTTGTAACCTCGGAAACCTTTGTTTGGATGGTGCTAGAAAGGTCACCAATAGAGACACTGCGGACGGCAGCCGTATGGTTGGTGGAAAGCGAGTCGTGGGTTCGAAACTAGCTTTTGGCACCGGCAATGGGTCCAACGGACGAAATAAGCAAATATAGAACAGGATAAGATATATTAAAAAAGCTACGGAAATAAACAAAACGATAGATGGGTAAAATTACTAGAGATAAGATTTATTATCTTATCTATCCACTTATCTTTTTGGGCTTTAAAGAGAAAATTAAGAAACCTTAGAAAAGAAAAGAGATAAGGAAAGATATTTAGGTTCTGAGACCAAATCCAAGGAAAGATATCAACAGTTAATTATTAAATAAATTAGATCAACACACTATATAAACAAATAATAAATCTATTAGGTGGACTCCGTCGACCTACTTACCTACGAAACTTGGTCTTGGAAGCCTGATCCTTCCTCTGGTCGAAGGTATAATAATAATTTAATAGAATAAACAAATATTCAGAGGTATTTTTATATCAGGAAACTTATTAGGAATCGAGAAATAAAATTAATTGATATAACAAAACAATAAATTCAACACCACAATGATATAGGCAGCTGAATGTACACACAAGTAATAAAAAATGCACCATAAATTGGTAAATGATGGTATACATATAGAAATAAACAGTATTATTAATAAGAAATACTTTACAAATACAATATAATACAATCATGCACCAATTAAATTATCAGCTAAGAGAGTCTGATTGTATATAAAAAAATTCAACCAAAGTTGATTAAAGAAAGCTCTCTTTGCTGTTTATGGGCTTATCTCAAGATAACGGGTACAGTAAATAAAAAAAAATTAAGAACAAATAACGCAAAGTTAATTAAAGTCAAATTCAAAGAATACAAAAAGATTACAGGAATAAAAATGAAACCAACCCGCACTTGGTTAAGTTAATTATCTGTTCGCACTGTTGTTTAATGATTGACTGTTCATATTGAGAATTTAATGTTCGTAATAATTATTAGTGAGTTCTTACTAGCTGATTGAAAGTCTGTATGGAAATATTAAATGTTCCTGGATTGAATCCTAACTCAGTAGTTAACCGTAACTACAGGAGAAGAAATAGTCGACGTAAATTCGCCCAGATAGTGGGAGATAGTATGATTATGATAACTTACAGTAATTATTGATGACTGCTATACCACTTCACTGACTTTATTATACTTTACTTGTATACACACTTAAAGGAAAAAATGCACAGAGACGATAAGGTAACAAGCGTGTTTCCTCAAAGACGACCCTGCCAGATGTCCTTACTCAAAGACAGCCCGGCCAGAAGCGGTATTCCTTCTCTAAAAATTTACCAAACTACCCAAAAAAAGGTGGGGAAATGACAGGTCAGCCTATATGTATTTCTAAGAAGGTAAAAGGTTCTAACGACTTCGAAAATAACGGTACCCTTCTAGTTAGGAACGTGAGGAGATATTCAACCTTTTGGATTAGGTTCTCTAAGAAAATTACTATAAACGTACTTTCGACGACATTTAACAAATCTATCAAAAGGACTAGACGCGAATCCGGAAAAGGATTAGCCAAGGATTAACTAACCCGGCGTTGCAAATACGGCTAACAGCGTCTCAGAAACAGGGTAAAGAGATTAAAAATAATTTACTATTTTAATTACAAAAAAAAATGTTACAATCGTTGATAGTATAGTTTTCATATAGAACAGTTTATACAAATCGTAGCATCACTAGCGTCTGATGCTTTGAGATGAGGTTAAATTTGCTCCGAGACAAAATATATAGAGTTTACTCCATGCCTTTTAAATACTAGATTTTAGATAAGAAAAAAAAAAGACACGTAATTTCCATTAATTAATGAAGGATAGATTTCTTAAATGACAAGCCATATAACTGGATTATACTCTTAGTATTCCTTAGTCCTTATTGGCTAGTGAATTAAGATAAGTCAAAAGGAGATTTGGCCCTAGACTAATAAATTTTATGTCTGTTTCAATATAATTGAATAAGCTTCCTATTCTGAAATAACGCTTTACCTACCCTTTTCAGGAACTTATAAATAATACTCCTAAAATTAGTTTTTCTGTAGTTGGCCATGCCTTCATCAGTGGTTGGAAACCAGACCGAACAGACAGGTTTGTCCGGTATGCAAAGCGGCCATAAGCAAAGAAAAGGTGGTACCACTCTATGGAAGAGGTAGTACCAAACAGGAAGATCCCAGGGAGAAAGTTCCCCCGAGACCAGCTGGACAAAGGACCGAACCTGAGCCTGGAACCAGCTTTCCTGGTAAGATACTTTTATACTCTGTTATTTAAATTATTTATCAAAATATATCATGTAAATGTAATGTCATTTTATTTTCTTTTTAATTCATCATCAGATTTAATTCATGATCTGTTAATTTTTTCGGAACATGCTTTCTTGCTATATAGAATGCCAGCTGTCTCTTCGTCTTTTTGGATGCCTTCCTAGTGGTCGATGGTGTCGCCATCTTTTAGTCCTACTTTCTGCTTAATTCTTAATAATTGTTAATTTAATTTTTTTTTACTTCAGCTTTTGTTTTAAAGTTAAAGGAAAGTTAGATAAATATCTTAAATAAAGTGTGGACAAATTCAGCTGTAAGGGTGCGTTTCTAAAAGAATACTGGTCTAGAATATAAAACCAGCAAACTCTGGTATCTTCCTCAAGATACTAATGTCCTTGTTTTGAGTATGATGATGATGGTCTGATAAGACCGAAAATGTTCTGAAATTTTTAATCGGTTTGGATAATTGCAATTTTATAATAAATATTAGACATTAAAGTTGTTTACTACATTGTAAGTTTTTATTTTCGAGTATTTTATATAGTCGCCTGAGTGCATATTCAGATTAGCTTCTTGGCGAATATCAAATTGGTTTTAGGTCTGGTCGATGAACAACAGACCAGATCTTTGTGCTAAGGCAAATACTGGAAAAACCAATGAATTCAATATCGACACATACCATCTTTTCGTAGATTTTAAATCGGCCTATGATAGTGTCCTAAGAAATAAATTGTATGAAGCCATGGATGAATTTCACATCCCCGATAAACTGATAAGATTGGTTAAGGCTACAATTCGTGAAGTTCTTTGCAAAGTCGAAATGCAGGGCGAACAATCACAGACATTTGAAACGCATGTTGGGCTGCGACCGGGAGATGCGCTGGCGTGTCTCCTTTTTAACATAGCTCTGGAAAAGGCGGTCAGGGGTGCCCAAATAGACAACAGAGGAAACATTTTTAACAAATCATCCTAAATTTTGGCATATGGAGATGATGTTGACCTAGTTGCCCGCACAACATGCAAACTAGAAGAAATGTATACCACCTTGTCAAATGTCTCAAAAAATATGGGCCTGTAAGTAAATGAGGAGAAAACTAAGATAATGGCATCAATACCCAACAATAGAGCCAGAAACATCGGCCACCAATTCACTGTTGATAACTCTACCTTTGAAGTGGTGTACAAATTCACATACTTAGGCTTCCTGATCATCAAGGAGAACGCCATGACGGAAGAAGAATAGTCTTAGCAAACAAATGCTATTTTGGATTGAGTAAGCATATGAGAAGCAGAAACTTAAGCCAAAAAACAAAAATAACCATATACAAAACCCTTATACAACCAGTATTGACATATGGATCGGAGACATGGACCATTTCCAAGGCAGATGAAAACCTCCTGCTTATATTTGAACGAAGGATCCTGAGAAGAATATTCGGTGTCATTTGTGAAAATGGTGTTTCGAGAAGGAGGTACAACTATGAGATATATCACAGATATAAATATATATTTGGTGGTAAAGACGTAGTATCTCTTATACAAATAGAAATACTAAGATGGGCAGGACATCTGGTAAGATCACAGCAGAACAACCCTCCTAGAAGAATCCTTATGCCACAACCTGTAGAAGTAGAAGTAGGGGTAGGCCAAAACTCAGATGGAGGGATGGAGTAGATGAGGATGGTAGAAAAATAGGCGCAGCAAACTGGCAAGAGTTGGCAATGGATAGAACTGACTGGCGTAATAGACTTGAGAAGGTCGAGGCTCTTTTATAGGGCTGTAGCACCAATGATGATGATGATGAAGTTTTTAAGCAATGGTATACAGCTAACCCCTTTTTTCCCTTTTATTTGTTTAATAGATGAATTCAGAAAGTTAACAATGAAATCTTTTTTAGGTTTTGGATTTGGAGACAATAGTTTTCATATGTCTTTCGGCATAGGAGCATTTCCGTTCGGATTTTTCACATCCACATTCAACTTCGGAGATCCTCGACCATCGGCAGCAGCTCACGGTTCACAACAACACATGGAAGAGCAATTCTTGTCTAAAATATTTCTCTGGCTAGCCATTCTATTTCTGACTTGGCTACTAATGGCTTAAAACAAATGGTTGAGTCTGTTTCAAAAATTTGAATAAATTAAGTCCTTAGCGGGGATGTAGTGAACTTTTTGGATTATTTTATCACTAAATTTTTCGTTATGTTTAAATTAAATTATAGTTAACTCAATACATTTGAACAATCTCTTTAACTGGCTGGAATGGAATAGATATTACACGTAGTATTACAAATCAGTTTTATTTTCTTGAACATAAAGAGCAATCGTTATGAAAGCCTTTATTAAAAAAACATAAATTCAATAAAATTTCTCATATCGATGGTTTAACTTGCACAGTGGCTAACTCCGTTTTTTAAAACTTTACGGGAACACAAAAAAATTTCTTAAAAAAATTAATACTCAGAATATCAATATTCCAATAATAAATAAATAACAATTATGTAAATTTTTGGAGTTACCCTGTTTGTAATTAAAAGAAAATAGTATAATCGGAGTTGTCCACTTTTCACTGCATCGTATTACGGAAGCTCTATAGGAAATTCAAATCAATCTGTAATAATATTTTTGTTTATTTTTTATTTAATAATAAAGTATTTTATTTTTATTATACCATAGAGTATTTTATTTATGTTTTCATGTGGCACATTGTCGTAGTAGTCCCTGTAGTCCATCGGCAAGGTACTTTTTAGTTGTAAGTCTTTGAAATTACGACTACTTATTCTAAGCCCATTTTCATGAAGATTCGGTAAGTTTTCAATAGATTTAACTCATATCCTTCTATCACATCGCTGTGTGATAACAGAACATACAGAAATTGTGCGTGCATATCTTAGTTTTATAATATATATATATATATATATATATATATATATATATATATATAAGATATGAGTGTTAATAACACAGCTTGCGTGTCCATTGTGAATACAAATTCTTCTGTATTTTTATCCTGTTCTTTTTCTCAAGTCGGGCTTCATTATTTCTTTCTATGTGAACCTTATGTTCTGTGTTAGGTATATTTCCGAGTTTGTGAGAGAGGCACTTTTAGTACTCATCTTTTTTTGCCAAAACAGTAATATATTTTCAATTTCTAATATGTTGCTAAATTAAGCAATTGACAGAGGTTTGGTATTCCACGGCCTGCACCAGTCTAATGTGTAGAAATTGTACAAGGCTTTTTTTGATGTCCATTCTGGTAACAAAGCTTGGACGAATAATGGGATTCCATTTTTGGAATGTTTAAAAACTCTTTAAATTGTTCCACTTCTAGGGATTTTTGTTGCGTGTTGATTTGTTTTATGAGAAATATTCTCTTTGCCTTTTGTTCAGTTCCAGATAGTCATTTTGGTAAGAAACAAAGTGTTACAAAACATCCTTTTGCAAACCATTCACGAAAACCAAAGTCATCCTCCAAAACATCTCAAATATAGTTTTCCTTTCTTCTTCTGAAACTTTGCTACATTTTAAAGCACTTTTATCAGTTGTCCTATATTTGCATCAAAGTTTAAGAACTCGTTTATTTTTGTTTGTGTTCATTCCCATTTCCTTTCAATTTTTTTACGCCCAGAATACTGTTGCGCCTTTTCCCTGTAAAGCTTGTTCATTTGATCTTTCCATGTAGCTTTATTTACATGTGTTCTTTCTCATTTCCTTTCAATTTTTTTACGCCCATAACACTGTTGAACCTTTTCCCTGCGAAGCTTGTTCATTTGATCTCTCCATGTAGCTTTATTTACCTGACACCTTTTTCTTCTTTTAATTCTCTTTGGTTCTTCTTCACTGTTAGAATCAGAGTGCTCAGAATATGGTACAAGTTGTGCATTCATGCAGTCGCTATCATTACTTAAATATTTGCCAATCAAGCTAGTATTGTTGTCTTCGTGTTGTACCATGGTACAACAGGAAAAAGGTATATTATTTCATTAAAACTACTTACCACAATTCTTATACACTGTATCGTATCTAATCAGCATTATTTTATCTGTTAAGCACAGTTTTCTAAATCAGGCCGCGCACCTAAACGTGGCACTCACCCTCAAGTACAAATAAAACGGCGGTTGACCTTGGAGTTAGCCACGTTTCCGTGTTGTTATACTGTTGAGTTGACCGTTCTACGTGTTCACCGTTTTCTCCAGAATGTTAAAGCTGGGGAGATATGTTATTGAACATATTGTGAGTGACAACTAGACCCAGTCGACAACGCCAAAACCTGTATTTTTGTACAAAATGGAGTTAGCCAATTTGCAAGTTAAGCCATCGATATACAATATCCATACATATAAATGTAGTATTTTTATCTTAGGGTTTAAATTATGTCCGATAAGTCAGTAGGGAAATCATAAATAAAGAAATTGTCTTGCATATTCTTTCTTGTTGTATTTTTGAGGTGGAGATTTGTTCACTGGTGTTTCAGTTTGTCATAAGAATTACTTTTGTCCTCTTAAATACACAAATTTATGGGGTTTCTTTATTGAAACAAAAAGTTGATTTACTTAGAATTATTTGTTTATTTACAGTCTATTTCAACTCTTATGCAAATGATTTTTATGAAATATAGGGATCATTAGATTGCTTTATTTGCTATCTATTACTATACAGCATTTTTGCTTTAAATTCTCACTCTATAAAATAAATAAGTCATATGGTAATAACCCAGGAGCTAAAGAGTTAAGGTAAAATACTACACATACATGATGATAGAGAAATTAACGTTAATATCTCATATAACCAATCATTACCAGCATTTTGGAATTTTATAAATGTGTATAAACAAAAATATGTACCCCTAAGACTTATGTATATAATGCTACATCGGACCCTAGAAAAATTAATTTGTACATATCTTTAATGTTATTTTTGTGATTTAATCGGTTAGGTGTTAACGTAAGGAACGTGGAGGGGATAATTTTAGTTAATAGAAGTAGAAAATATATTAAGCATTAAAAAATATCTATATAACTTAATATTTGTTTGCCATGAACTTGTTTGGATTGAGTGGCATTGTAATAAAAACAATGTTCACTTGATTCAAATCATTATTAATATTTTTTATTGGCTAAGTATCACTTGATACACTTAAACATTTCAGGACCACACCTATTTCAGCAGACAGATGGCATTATATCGCCCAGAATAAAAAATTAAGGACATGTTTAATAACTGTTATTAAGTAAATAAATACATATTTTTTTATTTTAAAGCAATTTTTTACACCTTAGAAAAAATACATTTTTTTTTCAAAAAGTTTTAATCATTAATACTGACAATTCAAAGCAATACTACAACTCATTTTAAACATAACTTTAACTTCTTTACAAGACTGACACAAATCAAAATAATGCATTATTCTTCACAAAAAGTATTGTATTATATTATTGTATTTTAGAGAAAGGAAGGCATATCTCAAAATATGACGGTATTACACAAAATGTTGAACCAACTGTTCGATTAACAATAATGACACTTCTACCTACCATATGACGGCCATAGGCATAAACTAACTTTACGACATTATCAAAAAATATAGAATATTTAAAATCTGCTCACTAACATAGTCTATTTTTCACTTTTTTGAGATATGACGGTCTTCTTACAAGGTAGCGATATATTCATAGAAATAGGGCGGCAACGGCGTAAGGCACTATACAGTTGCATAAGGTGCAGAACGTGTCTTCTCATCTTCTAGATAATATCAGCAAAAAATCAGCTCTTATATCATGCCCATCTGGCTCAAATACTTTATGAGCCTACCGTATCCAGTCAGCAGTCCTGCTATTATGCTAATAACCTTTGGCTGTGGCTTACTAAATTTGACTGAATATCCCTTGATAAACTCTCTTTAGTCTGCCTCTATCCTGGAGCATTTTGCAACCATGTGTCAACGGCTCGCCTTTTCTGTATGTTCGTAATTCTGAAGAAGGGATCCGGGTCAACTAGTGGAGTCCATACTTCGAACCAGTTCATCAACTTTGCCTCTTTGTCCTCATACTAAATAACAACATAAAAACAGTCCCACGCAAACTTTGGGTTTAAGTGCTTTCAGGACTTCTTGATTATAAGAGTAAAATACAATTGAATGGTAATTTCACCATATTTCGAAACTCAACGGGAATTATTATCATTTTGTTCTGCTTACATAAATTCCAGCCCATGCACCTATGTCGCTGTTGGATTCCTGAAACGTAGTAGGTACGCTTTTATCTCTTTATTAATATTAGAAAAAGCTGAAGAAGAAAATCTTTTGTTTTTAAAAAGAATATATTTTATTACTGATGACTTTGGAAGTTGGTTTATTTTAAAGAAATTTTTAACACATATTTTGGGTTTCTAGGTCACATTTAATGCTAGTTGATAAAAAAAAACCATCTTTTCTTTTGAACTTCTAAAATGTTTAATTTGTCTATTAATAGTCACTAGAGCCAAGAAAATATGTAATTAAGTTTATAATGAAATTTCACCGTCAATTGTACAAATATTATCTACCAGAATTAATAAATTTTGCAAATACATGTTATGTTGTTACACGTTTTTTTTTTTTAATTTTTTGTCCTTACTGATCGATATCGCAAAATCAATTCAGTTTGTTCTGGCTTTACTTAAAAAGGATAAGTAAATTTGTTCAAAACATTCTTGGATTAACACAGAGATGCCTTTATTCGTGTTACAGATCAATTTGATTGTTATGTGAACAAGAGAAATTTAACTTAATAAAGAAAAAAGATACTTAATAAAGAAAATAAAGATATAATAGCATTTATTTCGGCATAGGGTTTGTCATCATATAAGTTATGAGAGGAATATGTAACCTCTTATTATAAATGAAGGGAATAACGAGTCATTTTATGATTCTTTAGCTAGAGAATCTTACGTTATAGACTAAGCAAAAAAAATATTATGGAATTATCGGTATTTTTCTGTTTTGGCTTTCTTCGAACATTTTTTCAAACTAAAAGTGTGATCATAATGATCAATGTAATACAAAGTAAAAATAGGAAGAGAAGAGAAAGAATTCATAAAAAGCAAAAAAATAGGAAGTATTAAAACAAAAACAGAAACATTTTAGGAAAATATATTGAATCGCTATGGAAGAGGAGAGAAGTTAAAAAGAATAAAATAAATAGAATAGGAAGAGAAATGAGACATGAATTCCTATGGTATCAACAGGGGGTTCAAAACTTACAAAAGAAAATATTGTTTAAAAATAAAAATTAAATGATTAACAGTTAGAAATGGAAAACGAGTATAGTCAAAAAGTAGAAAGTAGATGTCACTAAGGTAAATGGAACTCGAAACGTCAAAATAAACATATTTTAAACTAAAATTGTGGTTAATTCCTAGTAAAAATAGTAAATTGTATTGTTGCTGCAAAATAATAGCTTCAGAACAGTACAAATTACGGTCCGTCCCAAACCCTTTTTTCAGTGCGTCACTAAATGTGACGTTATATAGGATTTTAAGAATGTCGAAAATTATTGCTTGACATTTTAGTTAAATCTGACAGTTGCAGGATCGTAATCGACTAAATGTGAAAAGGTTATTTTTTTAAATAGGTATGTAGTCTTTGTTCTTTCTCGGTATATCTCGGCATATTTAAAATATTTTTATGACAATAAATACAAAATTAAATTTTTACTGTAAAATGTCTGAAAATACTAACCTGGAATGAAAATTATCATTTTATCAGTTGACATTGTAAAAGTATTGTCATGATCAAGATAATCTGCGTCAAATTATATTTATGCGCATCATTGATTGGATATCTATTTAGCGTATTCTAAACTCCAACCAATTATACATCCGTAAGTAGAATTCGCTTTAATATGCAAGTACTAGTGAACGATACATAATTTTCTATGTTCTATGTATAATAATCACAGACTCACGTCTTTTTCTGTCACTTCTAGCTTTATGCGTTAGACAGAATTCGATCAACTATGACGCACTGAAAAAAGGGTTTGGGACGGACCGTACCTTGTGTTGCTTTAATGATAAACGATCAGTTTCTTCAAAAACGATAGATTGTTACTGCATCCTCCAAGGCTTGCGAAGAAGTGTATATATTTGTCGCTTACCTCACTAAGAAAATATGCAGGAAATTACTGATTGGGAAGATCAAACCAGAAGGTGACGGTTTTGCAAAGCCGAACCTTTAACAGCTTCTAGAGAACCCCGATGTATCACCTAATTCTGGTGATTTCGATTGTTTACCTGAATGGTCTTGAATATTAGTACATAAATATAAAACACCGGTTTTTCTATGTAGGAGTCAGATCGCATTTTATAGTTTTGAGAGAAACAATTGTATAAGTTCTAAATAAGTATAAAATATAAATCAAAACTAAAGAGCTCTTTTCTTTACCTCCAATTTTTTAATCGCAGCATTATTCAATTTTAATTAGAATAGCACTAAAAACCAAAAACTATGGCCCTGGTATTGACGAGTTCACATACACAGTAATAAATAAGTTACCATTTAATGATAGTTGATCTTCTAAAAATTGTAAATTCTAAACAACTAGACCATCTGCATTTGTAAGGCTATAAAGTTTAGACAAGAACAGTTTATCTAAAATCAAAAAATGAAAAAAAAAGTAATAGACGACAAAACCAGATTTAAGATATGATCGGGGAAAGATTTGCAGAGAAAAACAATTTGCAGAAATACACCTACTGAAACATGACACTATTTGTTCAACGGCCACAAAAAAGTTAAAGAAGCTTATACAAGCTAAAAAGAGTCAGGCTATGGTTGATAAGCTAGGTAAGCTACTATTATGTGTGGAAGAAAGACTAGACAAGTGAAAGAGATATGTGGAGATGACTTTTAAAAGATGAATGACTTAACAACACGAAATTCCAAACAGGAGCCATGATTATGATCAAAGAAGTCATATCTGCTGTAAGAAAGGTCAAAGTTAGTAAACCTGTAAGACCTAACAAGTTTTATGCAGAATTCTTATTTATAAAATAGTTAAGAACTATATTTAACAAAATCTACACAAAGCTGGTTAAATTCTAACTTCGTAACTATACCAAAAAAACCAAATTCACAAACATGTGAAAACTACAGAATAAAACAGCAACTGTTTGCACCCCCTACTATAGAGTTATTTAGAAATACTCAAATAGGTATCAAAACCTACATCAAAAATGGTAATATTTTGAAAGGCAAACAAGTATGCTTTTTTGCCAAATTAATTTGGCCATTTGTAAATTAATGCATCGTGGAACAAACGGGAACAGGAAGTGGAGCTCCATAAAACTGATATACCTATAGGTATATCAGTTATATAGGCAGGTATATAGTCACATATGTGCCCTGAACAAAACAAAAAAGAAAGGGAAAGGAAGTGCCAATAGCATTTATTTTCCTGTACAGCGGAGCAGATAAAAGCAAACGAGCTCAGGCAGGAGTAAGCCTCTTAATGCACAATAAATATAGTAACAATATTCAAGAAATAAGATACATCAACGAACACATGATGCTGGTTTGCCTTAAACTTCACCAGACGATACTTAATATTATCCCCGTATATGCACCGGATAACAACAAAAACAATGAAGACAAAGATGCTTTTTATTGACAGCTCCAAGATCTACTTGGACACCACAATAGCCGGTAGTAAAACAATAATTCTCGGCGACCTAAACGCCAGAGTAGGCAACATACCTGTGGCTGGAGTTACACAAAGATTTAACGAAGAAACGCTCAACGACAACGGAGAAAGACTTCTAGATCTTTGTTTAATGAATAACCTCCGAATTAACAATACATATTTTGATCACCCACCAATACAACATAAGATCACCTGATCAGATACAAGAGGACGTAACTTTATGATTGACTACATTATAACAAACAGACAAATAAACTAACCTAACCCTCTTATCTATGCAAATACACGACAAGAATATAATAGATGTGCGCACTCTATCCAGTGGCGCACACAGGGGGGTTAACCCTCTCCTCCCAGGGCACTATTCCGACACTGTTACTCACAAATTTTAAGGACTTAAAATGGTGAAGGAAGCATAAAAAAATCGGTGCCCAACCAAACCCCCCCACCCTATGCAAAATTCTAGGTGTGCCACTGACTCTATCTTCCGCCAATGTATGAACCGACTATGGCCTGGTACTAGGAAAAATAAATATAGCAATCACCACACAAAAGGCAAGCGAAATACAAAAGTAGAAGATAAGGTTAAACATAGAAAGCTTAGAAGAAGAAGGGACGGACACAAAACTTGTAACAGACTAACAGAAAAGCTAAATAGCCATAACCTAGAGACTAAAAAGAATATACAAGGAACCTGTAAAATTATTAAAAAATGTATCCTACAAGCAGCGGAAGAAGCTTTAGGTAAAAGAAAAGTTAACAGAAATAAACGGGAATACAAAACTCCATGGTACGGCGAAAGGGTGAATGCACTAGCAAATGAAAAGAAACAAGCTTTCCTAACATACAAAGGAGTGAAGATTAGAATGAAGAAATAGATAACATCAAACAAGAACATTGGGAGAAATTTACCAAAGATATGGAATACGACCCCTATGGATCCGAGAAAAAGGTGTGGAAGATGATAAGGAGACAAAAAACAGAAATGAATGAATTTGTACGCAAAGATAATATTACTGAGGAACAATGGACTGAGGATTTCACGAAATTATATGGGGAAGGAGAGGAAGAGAACAGAGAAATAATCATTAACGAAACCCACGATGGAGTACTAATATCAGAAGAAGAGCTACAAGAACGAATAAAAAAAATTAAAAAACCGAAAAGCACCTGGTCCTGATAAGATAAACAATGAACTGCTAAAATATGGAGGAAGAACACTACGCAAATGGCTCCTAAAATTATTCGTCGATATAATAGATACCGGAGTAGTACCAGCGAAATGGAAAGAAAGTCTCCAGCTACCGATACTTAAAAAGAAAGACTCAAGAAATCCTGAAAATTAGAGGCATTAGTCTGATGAATAGTACATTAAAATTGTTAACGGCAGTCATAAATTTTGTTATTCAATATGGTGATGAATCAAATAATTCACGAAGTAAGAAAACGACACGGATACCACATGGGAGTGCGTAAAATCACGATACTATGCTATGCCGATGATGTAGTACTAATTGCTGATAACGAGTCTGACCTACAAAGGCAGCTCCACATCTTCAATATTACAGCAAACAAACTTAATATGAGAATATCTGTGGAAATATTGATTAGCAAACCTTGGTGTTCTGGATGTGAAGGAAATGGAAATAAGAGTGCATTATACTATAAAACATAGTGAGATCTTTGTGCATGCGATGGATTTGGAGAGAAGTTATGTTGAGGAACATTTTCATCTTCAATTCTCTGGTTTTGTTAAAATGCAACAAATCTTAAGGATTTGTGTTGAACTCTCTCAATAGCTTGAATATGGGTGTTATAGTGAGGAGACCGAACACATGAACAGTAATGTAGGTGGGGTCTCACAAGTGAACAATACAAAATTTTTATGGATGGGATATTTATAGTCTATCGAAAAAACATTTGATAAACCCTAAAAGTTGAAGTGATTTTGAGACAACAGATGAGATATGGGGGATGTAGAATAAGCTGGATTCAAGCATAACACCTAGGTCTTTTATCTGAGATACAGAGTTTAAAGGGCAACTATTAATAATGTAGATATGATTTGTAGGAGTTTTATTCCTACCAAAAACAAATTAAATAACACTTTTTAACATTAAGTTCCATTTCATTGCTGTCACATCAATAGCTGAACTGATCCAAATCAGACTGTAGTTTTTGATAGTCAGCATCATTCTCAATTTTCAAGTATAACTTTAAATTGTCAAAAAACATTAGGAAAGAAGCAAAAAGGAAACAGGAGGCAATGTGATTAACATAGTTATTGAATAGAAAATGTCCTAGGTGTGATCCTTGTAGTACTTCTGAAAGTACCTTAAACTCAAATGATTAAAAACCCTGAACACATACTATTTGTATTCTTTCAGTTAGGATAACAACCATTCTAAAAGTTCACTCTGGATACCCAGACTTCTTAATTTTTAATTAAAATCTTGATTTACGTGATTTACCAGGTCAAACACCTTTGTAAAGTCTGTGTATACAGCATGAACCTGGAAGCCATCTTCAAGAGATTCTATAAGGAAATCATTTAAAAAGCAAATAAAAATACTTCAATTTAAGATTTATTTATTGTTTTCTGTAATATGTACAGTATATATTATTAAATTACATTACATATTTATTATCTGTACTTTTTGGTGTAAAATTGTTCACAGCTCTTTTTCCTCTGTCTTTTTAACAAATCCTCTAGAAAGTAAGACATTGTTACACTCATCTCTATTTAGAGTTTTCAAAGGTACTCTTTCAACTTCTTCACCTTGATCATCAAGAAATACTAGCTCTGGTGGAGCTCCAGAAATCTTTTTCCATTCAACATTTTCATAAGTCTGAATGTCATGATAGGCAAATTTTTTAACATCTTCTAGTCGGTTTAAGGAACATCCTGGACAACTCTATAAAGAATAAGGAACATTTAATAGTTATTTATTATATATTAATTTAATATAAACAATCTATAGCCCTTGATACGTAAATTAAATTAACTAAGAAGTGAATTACATTATGTGGAATATACAGAAACATATAAGGGTAGTGAACCCTTATATTTATTTGTAAAAGGATCTAATAGAAACCAAGGCCTGTATCTGTCATCCTCCTTAGAAGAATATGTTTCTATTATATTATCTATTTTTGTGTGTGAACAATTGGTATACCTAGAATTTTTATTATTATTAGTCTTATTACTTATATTACCCTGTTATTTTATTAGTTTGATACCCCTTTTACCCAACTAAATATTGTTTAGATGCATTTAGATGTGATCAGTAACTTCTCAATACCTATTTATTTGTTAATAACAAAGATCCATATTTCCCATAACTATAATTATAAGGGATTAAATGTGATATAAGAAACTACAATAAAGATTGAGTAGATATTCCCCCATTTTTGTTTTCCAATTTATGATTTTCATTGCTCCATACAATGTTCTGGCAAATGCTAGTTATCTTTCAACCTTCTTGGAGATGCTCTTAGTGAAATATGGCTATTATTGATGCATCAATGTTATTCATTGCAGTAAATTTCATTCTATAATCCTGATAAAGACAATTTGGTAAATCACCAACAAGACTTTGAGTTCTCTTAACATATGGATTAAAATTGCACATAACATAATACACAGATAAATTTTAAAAATGTATCATAAATAGTTTTCTTACCTCAAGCCTAGCTGAAACAATTTGACTACTGCACACTAAGCAAGCATTAATTACAATCACTGCTAAAAGAATTAAGTATTTCATTTTAATTTAGTTGTTAATTAACGCTTTCTATTTTATATCAGCTTATAACATCAAGTATTTTCCTGCCACTTGGCAAGTTTATTTAAGCATTTACCTATCTATTTAAATATTTATTTCTTAAAAGATATGTAAATGTGTAAATATGCCGGGGTATACAATGTCAAATGTCAATCAATATGTCAAACGTACCACAGCACATAAAACTGAGAGTGTCATATGCCAATATATCTCATGTTTATCCTTAATACGTGTTCTATGATTCACAGAACAAGTATTGAAACCTGCAAAGCGACCGCAGGAGTGTGACGTCACGACTGTCACATTGTCATTATTACTTTCCAAACAAAAGTTGAAATTTTGACGGTATAGAAGGCAACTATCGAACACGGTGATTAATTTAATCTTGCCCAAGTACTTTCGAACAATAGATCATCTTCAGGGGCATTTCGTCAGTTGTGGCCTATCCGACATGAGTAGAATGTCATAAATGTAAATTTGGACATACCAATACAAAATACAATACACAAAGACAAACGAACACTTTAAAATTTTTGAAAAGGAGAAGCTACATGTTGTATAGAAGCCGGAGACAGAATGGGCTCTGGATAGAGAGTTGTTTGTATATTATTCCTGGAGTTAGGCAATAGATAATTAATAAACAAAATTTATGCCTGTTTTTGTTTGTAATAAATTGCGTTTGTCAAAAAACTTAAATAGGACGTGAGAAAGAAAGGATTAGCGGTCGATAAACGATTCAATTTGGTTGAGCGGGGACAAGGAATGTTGAGGAAAATTTTATTTTGGTTTTTCACTTCTATGAGGGCGGTCGTAGAGGTAGGAAGTCCTAGACTTCCCGGTGGGCGATGGTATCGGTACGATGTAGGAAGTTGCACTTCCCAGTGGTGATTCAGTACTGTATATATTCTCAATGAGTCCATCTAAGGTTGGAGATTAAGTGTACCCTTGGAAGTAGTTTAGTTGGGTGAGAGTATGAAGTCAATGAAATAGTACGTCAGATCAGAGTTGCAACATGCCGGTGGAAAGTGTTTTAATTTGCAGTTTATGGAGTTTTTACGAATAGAAGGACAAACGTTAAAAATTTATTAAAAATCCTTTGTAAAAGGTATATATTTAAATATATACCTTTTACAAAGGATTTTTAATAAATTTTTAATATATGGTATACAGCCAATTACAGGAACGTAGATTCCTTGTGGACAAACTTTAAGTTATAATATTTTCTTGTTTCGCGTTTCTTTCTGATAAAACAAATTGATGGAAGCTGAAATTCTCTATAGAGACATTTGGTCAAGCCAATTTTTTTTAAGTAATCAAACCTTATTTACGTTAAACTATTTTGACATATCATGTATATAGTGCAATGTTTTTTTTAGCCACAGTGAGCTGCTTTCTGAACGCCTTTGTCAAGACTGCATTACTCCAGACAGGCGCAGCGTAGAGGACGATCGATGGCACAACAGAATGAGAAGGGCCCTCCTCTCAGTTTTGGGTCCGTCCGATGTTAGACATGATCCCCCTCCCCCCCAACCAACGCGGCGGATCTTCCCTCAGCTCTTTGAGTCATCGCCTTTACGTGCTCCCCCACTTTCCGTTTTGACTCGTCACCCCTAAATACTTTAGGCATTTTTTTGGAACCACTCTCTTTCCTGCACATTCGAATGTTATCCCATTCGTTTTCCTTGGTCCTTTGAGAACTATAGTCTCGGTCGTACCCGCAGCCAGTTATAACTCATGCATTTTCATTCATACCTCGACTTGGTTTCATGTACGCTGTGCACCAAAGATAAGGTCCTCCCTGTCCCGCGCTACTACCAGCATAGCCAGGTCGTCCGCAAATGCGAAAGGGGTTACACCCTCTCAGTATTGTTGAGCCGACTTGCACCTATTTTCTATTTCTCAATCGATCCCCCACTTCCCATCCAAACAAGTTACGTTATAGTCTGTACAATTTTTTTATGTTTTTTCCTAATATCTGTTCTCACAGCTTTCGATATGTTTTTATTGAATGCTCTTATGCGTTGTGGGTAAATTTCAATGACTTTGTAACAGCCGTGTTTGCGCTAGTTTAGGTGTATCAACGATGTGTTTGTTCAACTCATCTACACCGTTTGGTGTTATTCGGTGTTCAATAATTTGTTAATGTACTCCTTAAATAAAAATAAAACTTAATAATTTTTAAAACTTTTATTAAATAAAATCAGCCTCGCCCGTTTACAATGATTTTTTAAAAACTTCACAATATGTGTTTATCAAAATGCTTAAAATACTTTTTTAAAATACTTCTAAAGTATAAAAATAGCGACAAAGATGTATTTCCTTTACAATGTAAAACTGGAAAAAGACTAAATAAAATTAAAACACATAAATAAAATAATATATTAATTAACAACAAATTTTTAAATAAATAATAACAAGCTATTTGAAGAAAATTATATTTTCTGCAAATTATATAGTTTATGTATGGTCACGTTTTGCGGTTTTGTAATGGATTATTACTGTATTAGTAGTTTAATAGTGTAAATTTAGTGTGAACTCTACTGGAAATTAAAAGAAAAAACAAATTAGACAAATATGTAGATTATGCAAAAAAATCATCAATAAATCTACAGTTTGATCATAAAATAAATCAAATAAGCTTCGTTGGCACAAAATACACAAACCAATCTTTTTCCATTTTTCAGATATACACGCCTTTTAAGTTGGATTACATAGGAATAAACGTTTTAGGCGTTAAGCTTCTTCTTAAGGTTCTCTGCCAATTTGTTAATGAATTCAAAGGTTTCCAGATAATCTTCTCTAGTTACTTTGCTCATGCCCTTGATGCAGATGGCCAAATCTTTAGTCATGCTGCCGGATTCGATGGTTTCAACGCAAACTTGTTCAAGAGCATGGGCGAACTTGTTCAACTCTTGGTTGTTATCCAATTTGGCCCTAAAAATAAAGTACATGAGAAATATTATTAAACAAGGCATCGATTATAAAAAAAAATATTAATACAAAGAACAAATTAGAACAACTGAAACATTCTTCATCACTTTTTATCATTATAATACTTAAATATATGCCTAATATCAGAAGGAGTGAGTCACTAAGTCTTCGTGTCGTGTATTTGTGATTAATATCCATCTTACGATCCTTTCAAAAAACACTTTTGGACAAAATAAATTACCTGTGAAGAAGTCCTCTGGTCCAAGCGAAAATGGAAGCGATCGGATTGGTGGAGGTTTCTTTGCCTTGTTGGTGCATTCGGAAATGTCTTGTTACTGTACCGTGTGCAGCTTCGGCTTCAACTGTTTTACCGTCGGGAGAAATCAGAACTGATGTCATCAGACCCAAAGATCCATAACCCTAAAATATGAATACTTTACTAATAAATAAATCATTAACTTTTAAAAGCTAATTAAACTTATATAAGTTAAAAAGGAAAAGACAGTTAAGATTTAATTTCACGTATAGTGCGTCAATGTAGCCGCATATACGTTAGGCTTCGTCAGAACGGCAATTCATTGTCGCTCTGAACGTGAAAATAAATCTCTTATGTCTTAGGAAGCAACTCTAACATGGCTTCGAATGGACGCAAATAGCGACATCTGATATTAAAATCCGTAAACTAATTTTCGAAACCAAATTCAGATTTTTGCTTTAATCTGTGCCTTCTAAGAATTGCAAGGCAAAACAGACGTTGATAAAGATGTTATTAGAGACATATTATAAGTTAGTTATATAATAATAAACAAAATTTTTTAAAAAATCGTAAAAATTGGAGAAAATTACACCGACGAAATCTTCACACAACGAGGTGTCAGACAAGGTTGCGTGTTGTCCCCAACATTGTTCAATATTTACTCGGACCAGCAATTTAAGCAACTTGAGCAACAACCGTATGGAATCAAATCAACGGGGAACTACTTGATGTAATAAGTAATTCTGTCAGAAAATATTGAAGGTCTCCAAATTCTGCTTGATCGTGTTCACGAAGTAGGAGGGGAAATGGCCATTCGTATAGATTCAAACAAAACTAAATCATCTCAGTTTAGAACTAAGATAAAGAATAGTTAAGTGCTATGTCTGGTCTGTACTTTTGTATGGAGCAGAAGTGTGGACACTAAAAGCATCAAGTATGAACAGAATTGAAGCATTGGAAATGTGGATTCACAGATGCTGAAGATACCTTGGACAGCAAGAAAAACTAATGAGGAAATAATAAAGAGGATCTACAAAAATAGAGTATTGCTAAAGTGTATCTAAATTTCCTCGCAGCAGTGTTGAGAAGGTCTGCTTTATAATGATTGAATAGAGTGGGGACCAAGACATATCCCTGTGATAATCCGTTGTATAACTTTCTGTTTACTTATATTGTTAAATTGTATGACGCGAAAATATATATCTGATAGCATGCTGATAATTAGTATCAATATGGTGCGTCATGGCTTAATAAGTTTACAAAAAGCCCTTCCTTCCAAATTGTGGAGTGGGTAGCAGTTAAGTATATCAAGAAGAAAACTGATGTTTTTCTTTTTTTTTTATCAGCACCCATTTGTTTAATAGGCTTTAATACCAGTCTGTACATCTTATATTTGGTCTAAAGCCAGCTTGCACTGGGGAGATGGTGTTTAGGATTTGTGGTCCTATTTAAATGAGCAGCAGACTTCCCAGAACTTTAACAGCAGCAGCTTAAGAGAGCTATTAGTCTGTAACTCTCTGGCTTGTCGCCAAAATGTGTTTGGTATCAATATGGAGATTGTCTTTGAAATTAATCTTTTGGTAAGATTACTATTGATAAAATTCAAATAAAATTTGGTAAGCCACTAATTTATTTGTTGTTCTGTATTATTATCAGGTATTTGAATGGGGTCTATCTATCTAATTAGCCTTCTTCGGTCCATCTTTGGACATAGGCCTCCCCAATCCTTTTCCATTCTTCTCTGTCTGTCGTTACAGTCATCCATCTAGAGCCCACGTGCTTCTTGATATCATCTGCCCATCTCATTTGGGGCCTTCCTCTGCTTCGTTTATATTCCCACGGTCTCCAACTTATAAGAATTTTGTTCCATCGGTCTTCTTTTTGTCTTATATTGTGTCCGGCAAATCTCCATTTCAATTTTGCAACTTCTTGTCTAACATCCCTCACTTTTGTT